AAACTAGTAGTGAGACCCTGAACACCCTGTAGACCCTTCCCTAAAAAATACAAAAAAAAAAAAAGATTCAAGAGATTCAAGTGTGTATTTGGTGGCAGGGGTGACACAGGAGAGATTTTGTGCTAGCTACTATGTGTCACATCAGGAGGCACAGTCAATTATACATCTCTTTTTTCTTCTTTCTTCTTCTTCTTTTTTTTATTGTATTTTAGGGAAGGGTCTACAGGGTGTTCAGGATCTCACTACTAGATCAGACTTGTAGTGATCTGCCTGTTTACAGCCTCCCAAGAGCTGGGATTACAGGCGCGTACCACCACGCCTAGTCTCAATTGCTATCTCAGCACACCCCAAGCGTGGGGCTGGCACAGCAGGCCTGGGGATCCAACCCCCAGCCCCTGCACATGCTTTCAGCACTTCAATCCCATCTCTTTCTTGATAATGTTCAGTGAGCATTTGATTAAAGTCATGATTGTGAAGTTTATCCAGCATAAAGGTGATGTTTTTCTTTCTGTAATTATCAACATCTTGGACGGTATCTAGATACTATGTGAAATGCTTCTTTGTTTCATACCAAAATAACAGTCTTTTTTAGTATAGGAGAAATACTAATGTTTTTGTTCTGTGTTTTTGTTTTGTTTTGTTTCATTTTATTTTTCCATTAGTTTATTTTAGGCAAGGTCTCACTATGTTGTCCCAGCTGGTGTGGGCTTAAATAACACTCCTGCCCCAGACTCATAGAATATTGCTGAATAGGCAAAGCTTGGATCTTATGGGAATAAGCTGTGAGATTGACAGAGTTTGAATTGTCAACCATTAGGATCACAGCTCAAGAATCCTAATTAGAAGGAAAGCACCCATTACCCACCTTTGCTGAGATAGTTTCTTTGTCCTGGAGTGAGTGCTGGTAGAACATAGGTGTAGGTTTTATTTTGTCTTATCTTTGCTTTCTTTTTCCTCTTTTATTTCCTTTTCTTTCACTGAGGTACAAAATACATAGAGCAAAAAGTATACATCTTACAACTTGATAAAACTATGCATATATCTTCTGATAACCACCACTTGAAACATTTCCCTCATCTTAGAACTGGGATTAGCAAACTACAATTCATGAAGCATATCTGGCCTACCATTTTTGGTGTCTGTTTTGTTCATTTGTTTGTTTCATTGTATAGTACTGCTAATCACTATAGTGATTAACTAAGCAAATGCGCTAACACTGAACTGCTTTTCATTTTGAGGCAGATTCTCACTAAGTTGCCCAGGCTGAACTTGAACTTGAAATCTTCTTCCTCAGTGTGCCAAATGTCTGGCATTATAGCTGAGAACTATCGTGCTTGGCTTGTAATGAAAGTTTTATAATAACACAGCTGTACTTTATTTTATTTGCATATAATTGTTGTGGCTACTTTTGTGCCGCGATGGTGGTGGTGGTGACACATTCAAAGGCTCACAAGACCTAAATATATACTGTCTAATCCATTAAAGAAAATACTTGTGACCTCTATCTTAGATGACTCCTTTTTTTGTCCCAAATCAGTTGATATCTGTCTTCCTTCTCTGTTGGGACTCTGTTACCATAGATTAGTTTTCCCTGTTCTAGGACTTGATTGAAATTATACAGTGTGTTATTTTTCATTGGAAATGTCTGTGAGATTTAACCACATCATTGCGTAGTTATGTTTATTTCTATTTCTCTATTGCTATTTAATGAATTCGTTTGCTTGTTTGTTTGTTTTGTTGCTGGGGGCTGAACCTCGGATCTTCCACATACTAAACACACACTCTACCACTGAGATATACTCCAAAGGGTAGCTCATTCCTCTTTATTGTTGAATAATATTTCACCATATGGAAGCATGTTAGTTTTTCAAGTTCTTTTGGGGAGTCTCTAGTTCAGTTTCAGGTTTTTATAGTCAAAAGTGCAATTAACACTTTTGTACAAGTCTTGATGTGGACAACATACATAAATACCTGTGGTAAGCATCCTATACTAGAACTGTTGAGAGAGGGCCGAGGAGATGGCTCAGTAGAATAAGTGCTTGCCTGGCAAGTGCAAGGGCCTGAGTTCAATCCCTGGTTCTGCAAAAAAAAAAAAAAAAAAGAACTGTTGAGAGGAAGAGAATTTTGTGTTCAGCTTTAATTGCTATAATCAATAGCTTTAAAAAATGGCTAAACCAGTTTGCACTCCCACCAACTTTGGGTGAGAACTCTGTTGCTCTTGGATGTGGAATTTTACTTGTAGCCTTTAGATCATGCAGAGTGCATTCAGACCATCAATCAATCTGACAAGTAGAGCATTTTTACTAATATTTTGTTCAGTTTGAGTTTCATATTTCCCAGGCTAGGGATGTAGCTCAGTGGCATAAGCGCCTGCCTCTCCAGTATAAGGTTCTGAGTTCAATCTCCAGTACTAAAAAAAAAAAAAAGAAAAGATATCTAAGTTTCATATTTCCTAATAAATGGATCTTTTGGAAATAGAGAGTCTCCAGTGTTATATTAGTATAGCATTATAGTGCCAGTTACTTTAATAGATTGATTATTTGACTTTCCCGTTGCTGGACAAAATATCTCACACCCACTACTTTGAGGAGAGGTATATTTGGCTCATGGTTTTAGAGATTTCAGTCCATGATTAGTGGACACAAGGCAGGATCATGGAGGAGAATATGGTAGAGCAAGGCTGCTTAGTCCATGGCAGTTGGAAAGCATAGTAGAGGAGCAGTGCCCAAGAGGAAGGGGCCAGGGACTGCAGGTAATAACTGGGGCTACACCTCCATTACCCACCCAGATACCCTCAGAAATAGGCTTTATTACTCTCCTAAATGACTTTGAAGCAAATCAGCTTTACGATACAGCTTAACTGTCAGAGGGAGAAGACATTTGATATTGTGGCTTAAAACATATTGCTACAAATTCATAGTTTTTAAAGGCTAAAAATTTATGATATGTGCATGTGTATGAAAGTGTTACATAATACTATATTTTGGTGTTTAGTTTCTTGAGATGTGAGGGCCGGCGAGATAGTTCAGTGGACTAAGCACCTGCTTTGGCAAGTGCAGGGACCATGGTTCAATCCATGGTTCCACATGCCATACTGGCTCTTCCCTCAGGCATGCTGAGCAGGCAAAGGAGTTGGGGCATGATAGTGCCCCAGCACTGGGGAGGCTGAAAACAGGAGGATAACTATGAGTTGGAGCTGCAGTGGGACCCTGTACCAAATACAGAAGTAAAAAAGAAAAAAATAGATATGGACACTCTTCTCTTAACACTTTTCCTCATGTGATTGGAGTCCCTTGTTGGTGGCTCTTATGCTTCATTGCCAAGACCCATCCCCTGGTGTAATGGCCTTGCTTCTGACCTTTAAGGTTATGGAAGGATATCTATATGTCTTGTATTCTTTGCTTCATGTACATTTCAGCGATTTTCTAAGGCATTCCAGTCCTTTACACCAAAAGGTAGTGGTATGAGTCCTTCTCTGGGCACATTAAATGTTTTCAGTTGAAGTGGCATCCCCTTTGGTCAGTTTGGTGAGGTCAGCAACAAAAGATATAACATGAAAAAATCACATAGTGTCTCACTGGTGATTTTTTTTTTTTCCACTGACCTACATCCCAGTCCTTTTTCATGTTTTATTGTAAAATACATGGTTTCACTAAGTTTCCCAGGCTAGGCTCAAACTTTTGATTCTCCTCCTTCACCTTCTCAGAATGCTGGGATAATAGGCATATGCTACCATGACTGGCTTCATGGGTGATTTTAGTACGTTTCTAACATCAAGCATTCATGTATACCACAAAGTAGTTATGTACACAACTGCTATGGTTTATGTCTAGTTGCATCCCAAAACCTCATGCAATCATGGGGTGGCTTCTAGGGTTTGTGGTTAATTCATGATGCAGTGCTGGAATTACAGGTCTGAGTGCTGCTGGGATTATGAGTGTGTTACTGGGATTATGGATGTGAGTCCTACATGACTGTGAGCCTGGGGTGGATAGCCTGAATGCAACAGACTTGCTCTCTGTTGCTATTGTTCCCACTACTCCTCCCTTTGCTCTTTGCTGTCTTCTGCTGCCATGAACTGCTGCTCTCTGCCATGTGTCACTCTGTCTTGGAGCCAGCTGAGTATGGACTGAAACCACAAACTGTGAGCTAACTAAATCTTTCCTTCCTTAATTTTGGGTGTTGGGTATTTTGTCCCAGCAATGAGAGAAAAGTAACTAAGACAACAACCTAGTTTTCATTATTTTGTTATTCATTAAGGCTTACAGTTATATCTTCAACATCTGTGTTTAAAAACAACATAATCATTTTCTTCCTTTTTTTTTTTTT